GTGAGGCAATTACCCAAGATCACAGTATTTAGTGCAGTATAGAGAACAGACATATCACCCCCTGACTTGATCAATACTAGTCCGATTACATAAATCTTTTGGTTTCCAACTCAATGTGTTGTGTTGTAGGCCTGGACCAAGTATGATTGATGTAGGCCTACACACAACGGAAATAGGGTATGTTGTGAGTGGAGTGGTCAATACACCGTTATTATGACCAAATTCAATACATTGCAGGGCCTGGACTGGCCATTGATAAAGATACAGCAGGCAACGTTTGGATTGTCACTGAGGGTATTACTGGCAAGCTGTGGACAAAGTCTGACCTGTATAGGGCTAAGAATAACAAAGTTAGGGTCCTGCAGTGAGGCAATTACCCAAGATCACAGTATTTAGTGCAGTATAGAGAACGGACATATCACCCTCTGACTTGATCAATACTCATCCGATTACATACATCTTTTGGATTCCAACTCAATGTGTTGTGTTGCAGGGCTGGACCAAGTTTAATTTATTTAGGGCTACACACATCGGAAATAGGGTATGTTGTGTGTGGAGTGCTCAATACACCGTTATTATGACCAAATTCAATACATTGCAGGGCCTGGACTGGCCATTGATAAACATACAGCGGGCAACGTTTGGATTGTCACTGAGGGTATTACTGGCAAGCTGTGGACAAAGTCTGACCTGTAAAGGGCTAAGAATAACAAAGTTAGGGTCCTGCAGTGAGGCAATTACCCAAGATCACAGTATTTAGTGCAGTATAGAGAACAGACATATCACCCCCTGACTTGATCAATACTCATCCGATTACATAAATCGTTTGGATTCCAACTCAATGTGTTTTGTTGTAAGGCTGGACCAAGTGTGATAGATGTAGGCCTACACATAACGGAAATAGGGTATGTTGTGAGTGGAGTGCCCAATACAGTCAACTTCGCTTATAACGACATTCGGCGGGGCATCAAAAAAGTGTCCTTATTCGCGAAGTGTCGTTATACCCAAAGTCTCATTTTATGTATTACAGTTGGAAGGGACTTTGCTCTGGGCATGGAAATGCTGTCGTTATTCGCGAATTGTCGTTATATCCGCAGTCGTTATTAGCGAAGTTGACTGTACACCGTTATTATGACCAAATTCAATACATTGCAGGGCCTGGACTGGCCATTGGTGAAGATACAGCGGGCAACGTTTGGATTGTCACTGAGGGTAGTACTGGCAAGCTGTGGAAAAAGTCTGACTTGTATAGGGCTAAGAATAACAAAGGTAGGGTCCTGCAGTGAGGCAATTACCCAAGATCACAGTATTTAGTGCAGTATAGAGAACAGACATACTCATCCGATTACATAAATCTTTTGGATTCCAACTCAATGTGTTTTGTTGTAAGGCTGGACCAAGTGTGATAGATGTAGGCCTACACACAACGGAAATAGGGTATGTTGTGAGTGGAGTGCTCAATACACCGTTATTATGACCAAATTCAATACATTGCAGGGCCTGGACTGGCCATTGGTAAAGATACAGCGGGCAACGTTTGAATTGTCACTGAGGGTAGTACTGGCAAGCTGTGGACAAAGTCTGACCTGTATAGGGCTAAGAATAACAAAGTTAGGGTCCTGCAGTGAGGCAATTACCCAAGATCACAGTACTTAGTGCAGTATACAGTACAGAGATATCACCCCATAACGTGATCAATACTCATCCGAATACATACATAATTTGGATTCCACCTCAGTATATAGTGTTCCAGTGCTGGACCAAGTTCAATTGATGTATTCCTACACATGGCGGAAATAGGGTGTTGTGAATTGAGTATGCATTTCGCTGTTGGTGTGACAAAATTCAATATATTGCAGGGCCTACATTGGTCATTGGTAAAGGTACTGAGGCCTGCGCCTGGATTCCAGCTCAGCATAGTATTGGTAAACTGTGGACATCGTTTGAGCTGTATAGGACTAATATTAACAAAGTTAGAGTCTCGCAATGAGACAATTACAAAGAACACAGTATTTAATGCATTATACAATACTACCAAGCCATACTGTCCTGCCACACATGACAATCCATGATAACAATTTACATTACACGAATCCATCATCACATACACCCGTGCCACACTCCACAGCTACAATACAATCATATGGCCAGTTCCTTACAACAATCCAGCTCTTCTACACACACTCATCATTCCTCATTTCACCCACTCCCTCTGAAGTCTCCCACCCCGCCCGCTACTCTTTCTTTTTTTTCTTCGTGTGATTTAATACCTTACCACTAGTACCGCCTTGCGTTTTCGTTCTATTCGCTGCTATGTGTGATTGTACATGTCGCCTCTTACTTTTCCTTCGCATGTGGACATGCGCCCGCAAAGGGGAGAGCTGTGTTAGGGTAGAAATGCATATGTAATAGGTCGCCGAGTGGTATCAGGAGGCACACACAAGAAGACTGGTTAATATTATGTTCTTCGGCTCAATCTGCCTGAAGTTATGTATACAACTGCTCCGGCTCAATCTGCCTGGAGGGACTCGGAAAGGAATACAACTGCTCCGGCTCAATCTGCCAGGAGGGACTCTGTTCTGTTCTGTTCTGTTATGTTCTGTTATGTTATGTTATAAAGAAATGAGTAAAGCATGGCAGCTTTTATAGGGCGAAAAGGAAGGAGATCATCATACTATTCATAGAGTCTGCATGAGCCATGAGTCATGAAAAAGGGCAGAAGTCTGTTGTGTCAGTCCAAACAGAACTTGGGAAGGCATAGCAACAGTATCTAAATGTATAAGGATGAAAGAAGCAAACGGAACTTTGGAGGAGAACAGAGGCCAGGGAGGGCATTAGCAAATGGATGCAAACAGGATCTAGAAAGGGTCATGACTGTCCGCATGACCTCAGTCAGGGTCAGGGAGGTACAGTACAACATGTGGGTGTTAGTTCTACATGTACATACAGGTACATACAGGTGTGATGATCTAAACTAGCAAAGATAATTATGTAGTATGCAATCCAGCAAGCGCAAGAGAAACAAGTGGTGAGAAGTGATATAATTAGCTTTGCAGGCTTGTCAGCAAAGGAGTGACAAGAGTCATTCAGTGCATGTACGTGTACATGTGACATGATTAGAGGTAAAAATAGATGTAGATGTAGTAGTCAGCTACAGTTCAGTACTAGCAAGTCAGGGATACTACACATACATTATAATTATTATGACATGTACATGACTTGATTGCGACTACTAGTACATGTAGTAGTACAATGCACGTACATGTAAACGTAAGACTCGTCATAAGCTATAATTAGATCTCCCATGCTTGTAACCTTGTTGTCAGCACTTCTTGAACTAGTACTTCTACCACTTCCTTTTAGTTAGTCAATCACGTCGTTGATTTCGGACTGTTCCATGCCTTCCAAGTAATATGCCCGATGAGTAATGTTGCTGACTAAATTGCATAATATAGATATCTCACCTTCTAGAATACCTCGCTTAGTCATTATGTTAATGTTACGCAATGCTCACTTCATCTACATGTATAGCAATGATGATCTAGGTTTACCTTCTCCGCTATTCTAGAACTTGTAGAAGGATGATTTCGTAATCCTCGTCTTACCACCAACCTTAGTTCTTTACCTTCGCTATAAAAGCTGCTGCCTTTCTAGTTTCCTGCAGACCAGTTCCCTGGAGATTAGTTTCATGCTAGACTACAGTGTATTACCTGAGAACGCTTTCTCTCTCTCTCTGAATAAGTGTGCAATTCTGTATGATAACCATTATCCATTACTGTGCCCTCGTGCTCTGCCGACTGAGTGAAACCGGGACTTGACAGTTTTGAGCTTGTTCTCGACCAGTGTAGCTGTTGCAGACGTGTATCTACAACCGATTGGCATTTAGAGGTGAGCACTGGGTATTTTGACTGCGTTAAGTACCGGCAAGTTACCTTTGTATTATGAAATCCAATCCCTTTATTGGCTGGCCTATACATTGATCTAACACCGATGTTCGATGGGGTAGGCATTTTGAAATTATCGTAACTTGGTCAAATCTTGGTCTTTCGGAGAGATCGAAATATGTAGGTCGAAGAGAAAACTCTCAGCTGTCGCCTCGAACAATTTCCAAAGCGATACAAAGAGCGGTTCGTGAGTTATAGCACTCGTAATATTGGTCCCGGGAAATTTGTGCTCAGAGTGCGATG